AGCACTGTCCACGACATAAGCACTACCTTCTTCCCCCAAGCATAACGGATATGCATTGTAAACAAATACAACGCATAGTCCGGCCCATCTAATGCCCATACAATGGGGAACAACCAGTTGAAACAGACATTCACTGAAAAGACGACCAGCGCAACGAAAAACCTCCCACAAATCACCCTACACCTACAACCACCCCCCCCCCCCCCCCGAAAACAAAAACAAAAAACAAAAACAAACATCCCTGACATAAACTTTTGTCCGTTCCATCCCACGCATCCCCTTGCACGACCGACAGCCCTCACTCCGTTTCAAAATTTCCCTGGGACCACAGACACAGACACCTACCGGTCCTTCGCGTACGGTCCCGCCCTGGCCCGTGTTGCCTGCTCCCTCCAGGCTGCGCCGCCACGCGTGCCATGGTACATTAGTCATATGCAGTCCATTCCATGCTCATGCTACCTTCCCGATGTTCAAAACAAAAAATAAAAAAATGCAGTCCATTCCATGCTCATGCTACCTTCCCGACGTTCAAAAAAAAAGAGCACATGTTCGTAGTACAGCTCCCTGAGGTTGATGGGTTTCCAATCTTATTAGAGGGGAGCATCACGTACTGGAAACCGTGCCCAGTGTCCCGTAGAAACCTCATGCTACCTTCTCTGCTTTGCTGGGTATCTTCAACGGCGTTGAATAAGTCGTGTCCATCTCGTTGTGGACTTCTACAACTGAACTGGTGCGCTTTTTTCCGATTTATTGCAAAGTACCTTCTCTGCTTTACTGGACTATGACAAGCAAAACGACTAGACAACACACACTGGCAGGTCAAGTCGGCAAGGAGAACAAGCAGGCAGGAAAAATGCAGCGAGGCAAAAGAAGTGAGGTTAACAATAGGCCGGAGGGCGAAGAGGAGGCTGGAGGGCAGACAATACATAAGTGCATAGGACAGGGAACGTTTAAAAGAAGGGAAAAGAAAGAAAACAGTGACGTAAACACAGGCTGGAGAGGAGAGGAGAGGTGGGAGGGCAGACCATGCACAAGGGCACAAGACAAGGAAGGACGAAAGAAAAGTACGACGATAAAAGATTGTTTTGTCGGAGTCGACTCGTCAGGCGACATAGGCTGGAGAGCAGAGGAGAGGTGGGAGGGCAGATCATGCATGCAGAAGGGCACAAGACAGGGAAGGACAAACGAAAAGCACGATGATAAAAAGATTGTTTTGTCGGGGTCGACTCGTCAGAAGGCTGCGCCCTCGACGATTTGTGGAATCCCCATATTGATGATTTGGGTCATGAACCCTTCGACCCCGGTTGAAACTTGAAAGTGCTTTTTTTCGGACGGCCCATGAACAGGACATAGAAGCAAAGCAGCAACTCAGCTAAGCACCAGGCAAGGCTCCCCCGGCGACATGATTTGCTGCAACAACCGTTACGTCAAAACTACTGCATGGAACCGCGGCGCAAGCGGATGGGCAGCAAGGCAACAGCACACTGAAGCAAGCAGGGGGCTAGGCAAGTGGGTGTGCAGCAGCGCAACGGAGGAGGGTAGACAAGGCAGTCCCACACATCCAACACAGACCAAAGCAATCGACACGACCTACCCACCACCACAAGCAGAACCCCACACTGCGCAGACTATTGGTTCCCACCACCTTCTGAGCCAGGGAGTCGTTCCAACGAACATCTGTCAACAGATTCAACACCTGTAAACGGGCATCACATACATCACGATTCACGAACCATGCGGTCTCCGGAATTGTGCGGTAGGCGCTCCAAACAAAGAACTACCGACGGTTTAGCCTTGCTTAGAGGTGCTCACTGGGTACTTAAAAAAAAACAAAAAACAAAAAACAAAGGAAAAACAACGTACCAGCATAAAGAAGAAAGACATACACGCCTGACCCAGTTTCCAGCAGGTGCAGCTCCCCACCAACGGAATGGAGCCACTCGCAAACAGGGTGCCTGGAGGGGGTGTCTGCTCTTATCAGCACCTCCCCCACGCCCGTCCGCGATGTTTCACAAAAGAAGAAGAAGAAGAAGAAGAAGAAGAAGAAGAAGAAGAAGAAGAAAGACATACAATTGAGGTCCAGCCTATGGGATCCCTATTTAGGCACTTCCCCCTTTACCTAGCACAGTTGTTTTTCTTTTTTGAAAAGGGCAGCGGCCTTGAGATATCGTCATTGAATTGACCTGCCTCAGGGAATTCAGAATGATTTTATTCTCTTCATCTGATCTTAGCTCAGTTGGGTACACCTATGAACTGTTGAAATACCTAGCACACTTGTACTCTGTGCGCTTCTTCTTTTTCCTATGTGTATCTGTGTAGGTCCAATGTGTGGCCTGCGCAGGTCTGTGTTTATCTGCTGTACAGATCAGTATGCTGTAGCTGGGGTTCGCCCCCTGTATCGTCTCAATATATATGCGCTCAAAGCCCTCGAGCGCCTGGTGATGTGGGAGTCCGTAGATGTGTACTATGAATCATGCTCATGCCCGTTGTGATATAGATGCACTGCTCCATGGGGACACCTTATCTAATTCAAAGATGACTAAGTTCACAGGCACATTTTGGGTAATCGCGCACCTACTCCAGACTTTCAGCCATATCTGTACGGATGATAAGAAGTCAAAAATTGTTTAAAATACAGAAAGACTTGTCAGGGGCAAAATCCAAAAAGCCACATTACCCCTTTCTCCACCCCCTGACCATGTCAGGGGGGCAGGACGGCACGACCCGTCCTGGCTGAGTCGTGTGTGTGCCGTCCTGCAACCTGAGAGCTGGTCAGCTTCTCACCTCTCTCCCCTAACCTCGCGCGGTGTTACGCAAATGTCCTCCATGAAAGGTCTCACTCCTCGACATGGGACCTCCTCTCCACTACTCTCGACATGCACAAAAGACAAAAAACCATGGTGGTGTATCTAATATCTATCCACGTTCTAGCAGGAGATTCACGCTCGTTTTGCACATTTCGAGAGTAGTGGAGCGAGGCCCATGAAGTAAGCAAGTGTTGCTCCTCGTTATCAGACCTACCGTCTTCACCCGAAACACCCGGTCATTATAGCTGTATTTGGCACAGCTTTCGGTCCAGACGCAGTCATAATGACCGGGCCTTCTATTGGGGTGAAGATGGTAGCCACAGAACCAAAGTGACAGAACCGATCAATACAATATTAGCCTCCCACACTGCCCAGTTGCCCGGGTACGGGGGATATCAGAACCCTCAGCTTTTACCGAATGCATGACCATCAAAAAGTATCTTTTCTGAGATGCTCCCTTTTCCTTCCTTCTTCTGGGAAAAAAAAAAAAAAAAACAGCTTCTGATAGCTCAACTGAACAGCGCTTCCTTGTCTCATATCAGCTTTGTAAAACGAACGTCCTCTGAGAAGACAAACAGCATGTGGCATCTGACAGGGATGTTCAATCAATTAGTGCATGCTCTTGATATCCGCTTCCACAATGTGTATTTTACAGTGTGCAAAAGACAACGGCGACAACCGGAAAGAGGGAGGAGGGGGGGGGGAGGTTGAAGCAAATGCTGAATCACACATGCACACGTGCATTGAATTGGTGAAAGACCAAGGAAACAGTCTGGCACAGTCGTGCTTTTTTTTTTTGGAGCTGTGAACCAAACATGACGAACACACACACACACACACACACACACACACACACACACACACACACACACACACACACACACACACACAATGGCAGCCTGTAGGCTGTATTGCAGCCGGGAGAGCGGACAGATGCTTATGATGCTGGAGGAAGGTAATCAATCCAGTTGTGACTCAGAGTAAATCAGTGTAGTCCCAGTTGCAGCAGCCCAAAACGTTTACCGGGCCACAAAATTGCAGCTGTGACGAAAAAGTCACAGCAAAAAGGGGGATGACATGAGAGGATCTTGTTGTGGCGACCCCTTCTCTCCCCCCACTCTCTCCTCCCCTCCCCCCCCCCCAACCTCAATTGTTCAGCGCCGTATTATGTTTCTGCCCGGCTGAGTGCTGAGCTGTTGAGCTATTGTGTTCAGCCTTTTGTTCACGGCGTTCCATGACCCGCACGTCTAATAAGAATGCCTGATAAAGAAAAAAAGAAAAAAAGAAAAAAGAGAAAAGAAAAAAGAGAAAAGAAAAAAGAAAAAAGGAAAAAGAAAAAAGAAAAAAAGCAATACAACCCCGACGGATGCTCATGAGGCCAGAGGAAGGTAACCAGTTGTGTTGTGATGCCGTCTACATCAGTGTAAGCCCAGCTGTACCAGTCCGAAATATGACCAGGTCACCGGCGGGCCTACCCGTCTTCGCCCGAATAGAACGCCCGGTCATTATAGCCGTATTCGGTGCAATTTCCAGTCCAGATACAGCTATAATGACCGGGCGTTCTATTCGGGTGAAGACGGGTAGGTCAGTTGGTACACCCATGACCTGTTTTTGAAATACCGACCCGAGTTCGAACCCAGTTGACAACGAGATAAATACAAAGTGAGCAGAATGAAAATCATAATGGCGCCAGTCAGTTCAATGATCATGGGCCTCGCTCCACTACTCTCGAAATTTTTGCAAAAGTCTTTAAAAAAAAATTAAAAAAAATTGCAAAACGACAAAAACGAGAGTGAATTTTTCCGCAAGAACATGGAAAGATACACCGCCCTGGTTTTTGTCTTTTGTGCGCATGTCGAGAGTAGTGGAGCGAGGCCCCATATCTCAGCAAGCTTGAAAGAAAAAGAAAGAAAAGAGGAAAGAGAGAATTCCTCGCCGGATTGACCGCGGGAGAGGACCTCGCTGTCGGTATCAGTAAGGTCTTCAGGCAACACGGGTGTGAGTGCACTATACTGTTATACTC